CGGTACGCAGTCAACTGGTCCACTACTCACAGAAATATAACCAACACCAAATAAAAATACAAGCATAAAAAAACCTCGAGCAGCTCTCCTAAATTTAAAGAACAAAAGTTCAAACATGATTAAGCACACCTTTAATCATTAAAAATTTAAAAAACTACTAAGCAGGTTTTCAAAAAAATTTTTGCACAAAGAAGCTAAAATTATGGAAGATATAATATGAAGCTAAGGTATTGTTATTTGAATAAGAAATGTATTGTAGTTGAAATAAGAAATAAGTTGTTATTTAAATAATAAATATATTGTTGTTCGAATAAGAAATGTATTGTTGTTCAAATAAGAAATGTATTGTTGTTTGAATAAGATATGAATTGTTATTTAAATAAGAAATAAGTTGTTGAATAAGAAATAGTTTATTGCTTGGTTCTAGATATGTTAATTTTTGGTTATCATTGTAATCAGATTGAAATGAGTAAACAAATATTCAAGTAATCAATAATTCAAATAAACTAATATTGAATAGAGAAAAAGTTTCAGAGCTTAAGCTTGATTTACTTTGTGCCAATAAATTAATATTCAAAAAGAAATTTAGGAACTGGAAAGAAGAAAGGATTTAAATACAAATTTAAAGCAAAGTTAATCAATTAAATTATAAAGGCAAACCTATGTCAGTTGCAGAGAGATCTTGGAAGAAAATTAAATGAAAACATTTAAAGAAAAACATTTATCAGAAATTTACTTAGGTCTTAAAAATTAAAAGCATATCATTGAAAGTAAAAAAACAATCCATTAATGGAAAAATAAACTGGTTGTTTAAAACAAACAAGTTCAAATATATTCATATTGCTCCTATATTACTTGTATGGCCTATATAAAAAATGATTCAACACCTTTTTTATTTAACAGAAAGCTCACAATATTTTAGCCTGGTTAAAATGCACAACTCCAAGAAGCCTTTAGAATGTTACGAACAAAATGGTATCGAGTTGTTATTTAAGGAATCAGATCCCCTAATTTTTCCTGAGAGCAGCAAGTTATTGAAAGTTCTTGATCGATCGTAAATTAAACATTGAATATTTGCTTCAGATATGACGATATAAGAAAAAGTAAATAACAGTTAAAAAAACAATCAACTCAGAGCAAGTTCTAGTAGCAGATGTCAAATAATTGTAAATTGGTTACCAATTAGTTACATATTGAACATATTAGCATAAAGATGACTAGATACATACTAACATACTAAATCTTATGTTGTGTATGCTAAAAACACACTACCTAACATACACATATTACAACTTTATAGATAAATAATATTTACATACAAGAATATACTTTAATGTAAATAAAATTGCCTTGTGAGGGTTGAGCTTACCATTATTAGTATAAGATAAGAAACAAAATTAATTTTTTTTATTATTCAAATGGATTACTTTTTGAACTTTAACGCGGATTTTTACATGCTTAGCTTCAATGTATACATACCCATCAATTCACCTAATTGTCATAAATTTAAGTTTAAACCCTTTGACCAATTTTTTATGTGCTTAGCACCTCTTCACTCTATCACTTTTCCAAAATAATTTCTAATAAAAATGACCATGCCCTCATTCCTTTTCCCTCTGCTAACATTGTTGTTATTGTTGACTTTAATGATCATCACTTTAAATGGCTTGGCTCAAATGCCACTGACCATGCCGGCACTAAAGCCTAAAATTTCAGCATTTCTTAATCTTCTACTCGTTAATTTTGTGACTTGTTTTCCTGACAACCCTAATCATTTGCTTTTAATTTTTCATTTATACCATATCTCTGATCCTAACTTGTGTTAAGTTTCTCCTCTTTCTCTCTTAGGTGGTTCTGACAAAGCAGTTTTTTTTTATTTTTTCATCTCACACTACCTTTTTGGAATCTCCCTATTATTGCACTACTTAATATTACCTAAAAGCTGACCGGAATTCTTATCTTTATTATCTTGTCGGTGATGGTGAAATGATTTCATTTCTTTTTCAGCTGATAAATGTGTCTCCTACATAACCTCCTGGATTCAAGCAGAAATGGAGGCTTTTATTCCTTTTAGTTGGTTTAAAGTTAAGCCTTATTAAACTCCATGGTTTTCACCTTTCGGGCAGCTGCTATATCTAATCTTAATCATTTTTGTCAATTCTTTTGAGAAAAAATGGCTATTTATTGTCGCAAGAAATTGATGTAAAAAAGTGCTGTCTGATGTTAAGCTCCATTATTATCAGTTCACTAAGTCTTGTATCTTACCTCAAAAGTTAAGCTCTATAAACTTTTGAAAAACCTTTAGCAGTATAAGGGCTAACATTCCATGTTAGCCCTTAATTAAACAAAAGCCCATGTTATTCTTAATCATCCAATTTTTCTTATTCTCCCAAGTATAATGCAGAACTATTGGAAAAAACTTTTCTAATTCAACTCTTGATTCTTATGGCCATTCTCTGCTCTCCATTCCAATTAAACAGTTTAACACAGTTTTTGGCATAAAAGTTACTCTAGCTTTCGTTGCTAAAGTCATATCTCAAATAAACTCTTTTATGGCTTATAGTTCAGATAAGATTCCTGTCATAGTCTTATAAAATTGTTCCTCAGAACTCTCGTCAATTCTCTCTAAACTATTTAATAAGTGCTTGATTTAGTCTTGTTTTCCTGTCTGCTCGAAAATGACATCTGTTGTTCAAATTTTCAAAAAAATTGATCAAAATATTTCTCTCATCCCATCTTGAGTCGAATAAATTACTTTTAGAAAATCAGTAAAGTTTTTGATCCTCTTGCTCTAAAGTTGACTTGCTACCTGCTGTAACTTAAAGATTTTATTGTGCATTAGATGGAGACTGAAAGGAAAAGCCTATTGCTCTTTACATATCTAAACCATTTATATGTCTAAAGCAAGTACAACTACATTTACATTGTAAATGCAGTTGTACTTGCTCAATCCACTAACCTTGAGTCTCTATCCCATCGTCATAAAGTCTTATCTTTTTCTATGTCCTGCAAATACTATGATGGTCGTTGCTAATAAATGACTGTTTTTGCCTGGTATTACTCCATAAATAACACTAGACTTAAATAGTTTTGGCTTAACTTTATAGGAATTTATGTTCATATTTTTAAATATATACTGAAATAGCTGTCTCAAAAATAACTTTATTTTAAATGAGTTTTTTATGAAATGAATCAAAACATAAAACGGCAAAAACATTTTTGCGTAAAATATAGAGATTGAGAAAACGAGATGACACCTGCCCGAACCCAAAACAAAATCAATGCAAAAATGGTAAAGTCTCTAACCTACAAATTTATTTTGTAACAACATAATACTGAATTACCTTAACCATAATTTAAAAAAGTGTAAATCAAAATATTATCTATATAAAGTTCAAAGTTAATAGCTTTTAACTTTTTCAGGTATTACGTTATTGTGTTTTGTTGTTGTTAAAAATTGTGTTGTATTGTTCTAAAAAAATGTATAGTGCTATTGTTGTTGTTGTAAAAAAAAAATAACTGAATATGTAGCAATACTAATTAATATTTTCTAAATAAACAAATAAAACATTTAATTTAAAAATAATCAAACATAATAAAGCTGTTCAAAGTTAAATATAAAAGTAGTAAAAACTGGCTTCATTTTTCAAAGGCAAAGGCTTAGAACTAGTAAAAAAAATCAGAAAAAGATTCACAGTTGTCGAAAATCAAATTAATTAATATTTAAAGCACTAATTTAGATTTAAATAAGTTGCTTTAATATAGCATGACAGCAAATTTTTATAAATCCATTTTATGTTTATCTACAAACCATGATTTCTCAAGTTCACGACCAACACCACTTTTAAGCTTGCTTCTAATAATCCACATTAGATACAATAATATAAGTACATTAAGCTGAAAAAACAATAAAATAAAAATGAAAAAAAATTAGGTGTTCAAGATTATATTCAAAAGATACTAATAATTGCGTTACAATAAGTAAACTCTAAGTTTGCACACTGCATAATTACTGATTTAACAGTAACTATTCAAAAAAATAAGAAAATAGGAATACCAATCTGTAAAATAATTAAAATACTTTGTTATGGCACAGTTTCTACATTGATTTGCACGCAATAACACATTTTAAACCCGTTAACACTACTACAACCGTTTTGAACAAATTATTTGGAAATCTTTTTTGCTTTCAAAACTTCATTTTTTTTTAAAAACTAAATCTCATTTAAAATCTTAAAAAAAATAGTGATAGGACGCTTGCTTCATGAGAGGCATGTCATTTAAACCCACCACATACCAAAAAGTACATTGCTCAACTTGCTTCTTTACGCAATAGGCTTGTAGACTGGTTAAGATTTGTATTCGTAGAACACAATTATTTTTTCTTAGTATATTAGTATATAGTATGTTTCATAACTAAAAGATTGAACTATATAACAAAAATTACAAAAAAGGAAACTATTTTTTATTAAGGTAATAAAAAAATTATTTATTAGCTAAGTATTTTAATCAATTGTTGATAGGTTTTTTTATTTCACTAATGAATGATTTTCAAAATTTCATAAATAGAGCCTTGAGGAGGTTAATAAAATTAAAATCCTTACATCTTATGTAAATGCTATGTAACAATTACCATGAAAAGTAATATCATTGATGATAAAGCAAAAACAGGAACTACTCTTACATAAAATAATTTTAAAATATCAAATATAATAAATATAATATATAAAATAAAAAAAAACTGCTAAAGTTCTAATAATAATAATAAAAAAAATAATTCAAAATATGTATTTTATTTTCCATATTGAATTTTAAATAAGAGCAACCTTATTAAATAGATATGGAAACTAGACGTTATCATTAAAATTATACATTATAATCTTGTATACATTATTATGCATTAATGATAAAAAAAAAGATAAAAGAAAATAAAAAAAAATGAAAAAAGCAACATAGATTTTTGATATTTTAAAAAATTGTTTAAGGGAAGAACTTAATAT